AAATATTTAAAGTTGTGGTTACGCTTCACTTTACTAAAATCTCTTTTAAAGGTGCTTAAAAGTATGCAGTAAAAAGAATTTGGATATTCGTAACGAATCCATTGGTATTCTGGATTGAAAATCCATTATGGCTTACTCCCCTGTTATAGGTTTTATTTTAACCTGTGTTGATATAATTATAATAATGTATGTGAATCTTGTGGTTCAAATAAATCTGTAGTGATACATTTTTAAAGGTGCCTAAAAGTATGCATTACAAATAAAAGTTTTTCATTTCTCCAGTCTTTTAAATATTTTAAATAGGTTTATTTTTATTAAATCTTTATATTTAAGGGGATTTGAAATCACTTTTAAGAGTCCAAAAAGGATGCAGTGAAAGTAAGTTTTTTTTCGATGTGGCTTCTGGATTGAAAAAATATGTAATTGCATTCTTTATTGACACCTTTGGTTTTTTTTTTTGCGGAAGCACACACCTATTTAATTGTTTTAAATTTATGCATCACTGAAATCTATTAGTTTGCGATTATTATGTATATGTATAATGAAGCGCATATGTTTCTGAATAGACTTGATAGCCTTGTAGCCATAAATCCCCGCCTGCAAGGGCTGCTTTATAGAATCCTCGTTTGCCGAATGGTCTGCCAAACTGGTGGAATTAAAATATGCAGCAGGCTGTGGCAGTTAGCCTTCACTGGAAGCATCCAGCTCCTGGTCCACATGCAGTTGCAACTCCAATTGCAACTGGAACTACAAATGCGCCAGTTGATGACTTTAGTTGCGTCAGCTGTTGGCGACTTCACACGTGCGGCTCTTCAATTATGCATGCCTGCAGCAACTGCAACTACGTACATTTTGCGAACTGCGAACTGCAGACTGCAGGTGGATGTGAATGGGAATGCGAATATATATATATTTATATATATATGCTAAGTGGGAGCAGAGTGGGCGGGACATTTACATGCATGAGCTGTGAAAATAACGACAGGGTGGTGGGTAAGGGAGTATTTATTAAACCATTCTGTCAAAAGAAATCATAATAAATAAAATAAAAAGTCATAAATGAATAAATTATAGACTTTTTGCTCATAAGGCTCATAAATAAATAAATAAGTAATTCTAGAATAGCAAGTAAATTATTTTCCAGCCAATCTGATGTCAAAGGTAATTAGTTGAATGTGTCTGTTTTAATGTTTCCCTTGGCGCTTTAAAGCTTACGTATATCAGTGTTGATCTCTCGATTTTTATACTATTTTGGTGTCTATAATTAGGATCGAGACACGTCGCCCCCATCACCATCTTAAGAACCAATCAGCATGAGTTATGAAATACATTTTGTGCGCGCTCAATAAAAATGTATAAATAAATGTATAGATAATTTCTGTTTCGGCAGCTTATTTTTATATTTATTCACTTCGTAAGTACGCGGCCGCTTGGTATAAATGTTTGAATACTGGTTCGCTCTTTGGCGAAGGCTTTTCGAAATTCAAAAAAACAAATGTTGAATAGTTTCCACATGGTGAACCATACTGAGTAATTGCCCCTAAATATTTTTTACGATCTATTCTTTTCTGGTCACCTCATCTCGTGGTTTCGGCTCGTAAGCTCACCTACTATGAGTCTGTTTGTAGTTCCTGACTACACATTCTCTTTGGTCCGTGACCATGGGCCAATTTTTGTTTATATTTATCATAATGTTTATACAGTTCGCGTAGGCAATTACTTCAATTGTTTACGCACCATTTTAGTGCATTCGAAGTGACGAAGAGCATAGAACAGTGAACTGCGGGCAGGGAAGGCTACTCCGCGGATAATTGGCGTAATTTAAGTTAAGGATTTGTGATCTGCACAATGCTACTTAAACCGCTTAACATCAGAATCCAAATACAGTATCTGAGGTGTGGCATTTGCGGACCGAACTCGGAGAGCAAATATAAAAAATCGTAAAAGGGAGACCGATGGAAATATTCGTCCAGTATAAAGGAATTAATTTAAATTGCCAACTAGTAAGCGCAGGGAGCAACAAAAGGGAATGCTTAGGGTTTTTCCACTAAATGTATAAAAAAGAAAGGGTTAACACAGCCATAGAGGAATTAAATGTTTTCAATTCAGCTCCATCATTGGAGTAAATAGCAAAGTCCCAGCTGCTAAGCAATTAACAGGAAAAACTTCCACAGTCCCATTTTATTATTTATTTTGGAATGCTTCTAGTCTAGGCCCACTGCAGACACAATCCCAGATTTACACCCCAAAAAAAAATTTATTTAAAACAAAATCATGAATTTTCGGCATTAAAGGTAATTGAAACCAGTGTTGCATCCACAGCAAAAATGCCATTTTGTCTACTTTTTTTAATAGATACCTTTCCTAATAGATGATATCTGTTATGCTGTGCTTATTATTTTTAATGAGAATTATTTTTGGTACTAACAGTATGTTGAAACGAGTTACATTTTCACAGTCAATATGTTTTTTCTTTCTATTTGTGCTAGATGCTTTTCCTATTAGATGATATCTGTTATACTGTGCTTATTATTTTTAATGAGAAGGATTTTTGGTATTAAAAGTAGGTTACAACGTGTTTAATTTTCACAGTAAAAATGTTTTTTTCTTTTTTATTAGATGATATCTGTTATACTGTGCTTATTAATTTTAATGAGATTGATTTTTGGTATCAAAAGTAGGCTAAAACGTGTTCAATTTTCACAGTCAAAATGTTTTTTCTTTTTTTTTATTAGATGATATCTGTTATACTGTGCTTATTAATTTTAATGAGATTGATTTTTGGTATTAAAAGTAGGCTAAAACGTGTTCAATTTTTACAGTCAAAATGTTTTTTTCTTTTTTGCTTTGAAAGAGACGGACCATTTGCTTATTTATAGTACCTTCATGTTCGGGGGTGACACACTATTTTACTATGGTATGGAATCACTTTTAAATTTCATGTTGGATGTATAAAAGTATGCAACAATATATTTTTGAACTCAGAAGTAGTACAATGAATTCATTCTGAAAGACTTACTGCATACTTTTAGACCCCTACAAATGACAATGTTAAGAAATTTCAAAATCCTGGTGATTTGTGTGGCATCCCCATTATCAATTAAATTTTGTCGTGCAATTAGCTTATTAAAATAATCTCTTAAGCTTTTTTAAAAATGGTTTCATTATTTGGAGGTATTTATTTCTTTGGGTGTAGCCAGTAATCTGGAAATTCGACCAGATTCCCAGCCGGATGAAGGCCAAGGATCGTGCTCCGAGAATTGTTCAAGGGAGCTGAAGGTGATTTAGTATCTGCAGACAGGCAGTGGGTTATATAGTACATAGCACGCACGCAAACGGAATCAGGATCGGGAGACTTTCGGGTGAGGACTGGCCAAGGACCAAGTGCAATGTGAACTCCGCTGGGCACAAGCATCACGTGCGGCACGTTATAAAGTTGCCCATACAGTTGCCCTCTCTTAATTTTGTTACTACATCTCCATTTTATTTTTCTCCTGGTTTTGCCTTGGCTGCTGATGGTGATGCTGCTGCCACACGTTTTTATTGCGACTTGTGTCACATCCATGCATACGTCGGCTGCAGATTTTCCGTTTTACATTGTGATATTCATGGGGAAATTACTGCACCCGCCGTGCGTACGCAGGATGTTTAAGAATATATGTATGTATGTGCTTTTGCGGACAGGACTCGAAATGGTTATGTTACGGAGATCATGGCTGATATTCTCTCTTTCGGAACTAGCCATCCTGTGCCAAAATAGCAACGACTAGTTGTCCAAAAGTCCTTGACGGTGGATAATTTAAAACGAATGGCAGCCCAATTGGATGCCGAGAATGGAGTCAGGTGCCCGACCGACCCATCCGTTTATAGAAATGAACTCGTAAATGGAAAATATTGCATTGTCCTGCTATTAAGTTATCAACAAGGACGGACGGACGGAGGCAGACACGGGCGCAGACATGACCGGAGACGGAGGCCCATATGCATATGTGGTCGGGGCGGAAAGGGTTGCGTTACCAACTATCCACAACTATCAACTAGTGAGGTTGAGCAGGCTGTGCCACGGCACGTTTCTGGCCAGGGACCGGGTCCCTAATACCCGCACTGAATCGTAGTCCCAGTCGGCGTCGTGGTTTTGGACATAATACTCCGTATTCCGACTCCAACTCTTGCACAGCAGTTTCATATTTTGCAACCATTTCATGTTGTTGTGTCTTGTGCGAAAGGTGGTTGTATGTAGTTGCCACACTTAATGGCGCTCGTACGTTTTAGCAGCAGCAGCAGCAGGAGCGGCAGCGGCTACACTTGTACTCGCATGTATATTGTTATGTCCTTGTTGCCGCCTGCAGGACATTTTTATTCCAATCATGCGTAAGTGGCGTAAGGGCCAGGCCGTAAACCTTAACTTTTCCGCACCCATGTGGGAAGAACCTAATGGGAGCCGAAGCCCTTCGAAGGGTTTTGCACTTGGCACAGCTCCAGCTGTGTTTTTGGCATAGCACGGATAGAAAATTAACCAAAGAACTATATATATCCTTTTTGAATACACTCAGCAAGGCTCAGTACTCAAGCTAACAAAATTGTTTCGAAAATAAAAATCTTCATAAAAACATTATACGTTTTGAAAGGATGTACTTTGTATACTGATCCTCACTTGGCTAAGAAATTAATTTTGATCTTTCTTTCTTAACATCGTTAACTTGTTTAAAAAAATTTAACATTTTAAGTAATGTCTGATTTTTAACACGTGACTAGCGCGATAAACATAAGTTTTGAGTACAAAGAGGTGATCATCTCTATAGACAAGCCCAAATCAGCCCATTTTTGTGGCTACTGTACTCAAGATCATATACGTACTGTTGGATTTGAAAGTCTTGATAAACACAGATATTTAACCTATTTTACAGCTATTGATCTCTTCGCCGAATAACCGAATTATCATATACGTACTGTTGAATTTGAAAGTCTTGATAAACGCAGAAATTTAACCTATTTCACAGCTATTGATCTCTTCGTCGAATTACGACACACACTCAAATGAGAGTCCGATCGCGACGACACGACGCGCTGACCTTCACAATTTCAATTGCCATCCAAGAACAAAACGCTCAGCATGTAGCAAAAACAAGGAACACAGACAAAAAATTATGTAAAGCACTCGAAAGCAATTTTTTTGAACCGCCTGAACTTGAAAAACTTGGGAATTGGAGCAGTATGCCATATGCCATATATACCATATATGACGAATCCGCGCACGGGTACCGTCCTCTTTCGCGGCAGCACAACAACTGACGGAATCGGAATGGCAGAACAGAACGGCGGAATCGCTTTGCCGGAACATCAAGCATTTCGCAGCCAGTCGCTGCTGTTCATAGCTGGGATTCGGATTCGGATTCGTGTCCGCAGAGCTTTCGCCGAGCGATGCCGCCGACCGTGTTTCACTCAAACATCGGTTGGCTGAGAACGTCTGAGGACCCCAGTTCCCCCCAGTCCCCAATCCCCACCAAGGGAATCGTCCTCGCTCGGCACCACTCGAGTGGCTCGGGTCTCGGAGTCAACGGTTTGTTTACGTTTTTAAAGCAACACGTGGTCAGCAGGAGCCACGTGTTGCTGCCATTCTGATGCCTGATATCTTGCTATTCGAGGTGATCTGGGAGATCTCCACAATAGAGCCAAGCCGATGGACTGTTCGATGGCTGCTCTGGTTCCCTTCATCCTGCTTTTATCCTGCGCAGAGCTTGATTAAACTTTTGGCACAATTTGTAAATTATTCAGTGTTGTTATGTGTGCGTCTTTTGTCAGCAGCCGCCAGTTCTATGCACTCGGAATAATAATCCACCTATAACTTAAACATTGATTAGAAATAAGTTTTGATTAATTATTGATGGTAGGAAAAAAAAATTTCATTAAAAAATACTTTTCTATAACATTACTTACAATTTTATAAATCGTTTAGAAAAATTCCCATTATGCTCTTCCCCACCTTTCAAATAAGCAGACTCTAACCCATATATTTGCTTTAGTTTGGTAAACCATACTATCATTTATTATAAAAAAAATACATTCAGTATTTATATTGGTATTCTCATGCAGAAGAGATATAATAATTAATCATATTCATTATCAATCAACTTAAATATTAACAGACTTTAAAAAATGACTTATGTTTGAAACTGAATGAATGTCTTTTAGAATGGAAAACTTGAAGTACATTTTTTTGAAACTTCATATTTTGTTGCGAGTGTTCCAAATGGAATTGTCTCTGCTCTATGTGGGGCGGCCCCGTCTCATCCGCAATCATCTCTTTCAGCCCTTTGTTTGCCCCATGCCCATGCGTATTTATAAATTAAAAGCGTGTTCATCTTTGGCCAAAGTTCATAATTTTTGCGCCTTTATTGGGAGCACGCTCGCAGGGGCGGTAACTGCTGGTCTGCCTCTTTTGTTTAAGCCAGCTAAAGTATATACATGCAGTGGGTTCAGGTCCTTCTAATTGTCCTTGCCAACAGCTGCTGCTCATGGTGCTCCGTTGAGACGGAGCAGCGAAAGGAAGTGGGAGGTCGCTTCGGGTCAGATTCAGAGATTCAGAAGGGGGCACAGGGTCTGGGTGGTAGTATGGGAATGGGTATGGGTAAGGGTATAGCTTTGGGTGTTTAGCCTGCAATTGTTCCCTGGAGATCTGGATTTGGGCGATCAGGTCACAGAGAGGTCCTCATTTGCGGCTGCTGCCTTAGTTGCATTCGCATATATGTATAGAGAGGCATTAGAAAAGTGAACAAAAAGCCAACCAGCACTTGTGTGCGACGTTGTGTGTTGTTAAGAGCTGCGGCCACTTTTTGCAGCTGCTCGCCTAAAAGACCTTTGTAGTTCCCTTACATACACACAATCAAGGAGGAGGTCCTGGTTAAAATTTAAGTTGGACCACCCAACGCACCCACATCCATCCCCCTTGGCACAAAGCACATATGTATAGAGAACACCCCACCCACACACATGTTAATTGTGCTCCGGAACCAGGGCACGGGTTTCCTAGAACCATCCTAGGACTTTGGATGGTCGGAACAGTTGTTGTCCTCTAGGACGGAGGACCCCCTGTTTCCGTCCTTTCCCTTTATGCATTTATAATATCTTAACTTGTTTTCAACTGGATTTGCCTCTTGAATTTGTCAGCAGCATGCTTGTGCTGGAAAAATAATGAGCCTCTGCCATCTCATACATAAGTATATGAAAGTGGGGTTCTTAGTTGTCATTTAAATGCAGGCTATCCCTAAAAGTAATTAGAGGCCCAGCCCAATCATGGATTGAATGAAAGCCACAGCTCACGTATTAAATTCCAAAAGATATAATGAGCAATCTGGCCAGTTGATTGGGCAGTTAGGAAAGCTATCGCGATGGGTTGTGGGTCGGTGGTCACTCGAGCCTCCATGTCAATGACAATTTATACAAATGCCGAGCAAATAGTCGGGTGTAGAATGGGAATGGGTGTGTGTGTGTGTGTGTTTACCTGTGGACTACCAACTGTGGACTACGTCCGGATACACGATTTTGCGGCCGGCGTCGGCTCGAATCGACTCGACTGGGCTCCAAGTGCAAACAATCATAAATAAAGCAAGCAATCAAACATGCTGTTGTACTCTGATTACCCTAATTTGTATGCCACAATTTGACACATGACAATTGACACTTAGTTACAATGGGTGCCAACAACATGGGTAACATCAAGCACTGCAGCCACACGGCCACACAGCCAAGCGCACATATTTGGCAATCATTTATTTTAGAGCCAATTGAATTTTAAGTAGTCAAACATGCATATGACATAAGTGCGCAGCCACACACGCATGACAATGCACCCAGGATATGTAGCTATGTATGTCTGTGTCTGTGTCTGTTGGCAAACATACGCATCCCGATGCATGTGTCCTGTCGATAAAAGGCTCCACTGCACTCCGCTTCAGGACACCCACTACCATTCCCACCACCATTCCCACTTCTGGCCCGAAAAACAGAGTGATCGCCCTTTCAAATCATGGCCATAAATATGACAACTTGAATTCATTGAATGGTTTCATTTCATTGTTCCCTCTTTTGTGGGAGGGAAAATTAATTGGCCAAACTATTTGGCTTTAACAGCCACTAAACGCGAGCTTCAGGCCCCCTTCAGTGTCCATTCCCTTGTTAGAAGTGTCGTGCGAGTGTCATCGCAGATTAAAACTCAAAATTGATGGGGCAATGTTTGGAGTTTTATTGTCATGGCCGATGAACACGAAGAAATTCTAATTCGATTTTCTGAAATTCGAGCAGGCTAGCTTGGCTTAGCCCTGACATGTAGCTGGCTTTGGGGCACCTTCAGAGTATATTTTCAACAGCATTTAGGTATTTAAAGGCTACCAGAAGAAAGTTCTAGAGAAAAATGCGTTTTTATGTCTCCGCTTTGGCGACAAATTGTATCACTTATACGTACTGTTGTAACAAAAGGATATTTTAATCTAGGTGGCGTAGATTTTGGATTTCCCTTACTTTAGCAAATTTTAGAACTGTTAGATCTGAAAGAACTATTTCTTTTTGACTACATTTTAACTGGCATACGGGTCGTTTGAGCCATTTTAAAGGAAACTTTAGAAGCACCTAGAAGTTGGTAAATTTAAAAATACAATTTAGTAGTTTTTAAATTTTACCAGCCAAATCAACCAAATTTAAGGGTGATCACATAGATGCTAGATGGTGCTACCTATATATATAGTCAATAGACCTGGTCCATCAGTTGTTTCAATGCGAATTCAAAGTTATTGTTGTCGCTTTGACAAAGGCAACTGAATGTGCTGCTGTCCTGGATCTGGATCATCCCATCATCATCATCATCACCATCATCACGTGGCGCGTTGGTCCCTCCTTCCGGTTCCTGTTGCTCTTCCTGCCGCACAGCCGGTACATGCCAGGGGGCACAAAAAATCAAACAGCTTACAATCGGTCGACGCCATCGCGAAGTAGGAAAATCGCATCCTTGCCGTTCTTTTTCTACAGAATCTGGCCAAAGCGAGGGAGCCCATGAATAATTCCACTTCAATTCCACTTTGTATATTTCATTTTTGCTGGCAGTGCAGCATAGCATACATCACGGCAACAGCGTCAACGACAACGACAGACGATGATGGGGCAAAGGACGCAAGGGACGAGCTTGGCGACTGGCTTTGCTGATGACTGACTGACTAATTGGTTTACCGACCGACTGACTGCCTGCCTGACTGACTGACGGACGACCGAGATTGGGACAAAACATTTCGAGTTTGCATTATTCTCTTATTAATTAATAACAATTTATAGGCCAATCCCATTTGGCCGGGCCAGTTTATCTTTTCATATGTCCCCCACACTTTGTTCTGATGGGTATATGTACATTCAAAGGCCTTTCAGCCAACCACCCAAACATTCGATTACAAACCACCTAGAAAAATAGTGCAGAAAAAGTTGGTTAATCTATTTCAATCAGTGGGTTATAACGGGTATCCCATAGTCGGATCTATAGAACCCAAATGCTATGGCTTATTTTGGTTTGTTTATGCCGCATCTCTCTGCACTTAAATAAACTTTTGTGTCAAAATTTTATCAATTATTCAGTTAAAATGCATGGCAAATCCTGTTAAAACTCTGCTGCAGCAGCAGTGGCATCAACAATAACAGCATCGATGACAATGGCATCGAGCACAAAAACCAAAAAGCCTGATCGGATGGTAGGATTGGAGGATGTGAGGATGTGAGGAGGCATCGCCACCAATTGGACGAGGAGAAGGAGAAGAAACCATGTCACTGGCCACATATGGCCATTTGTCAATTGAATGATGGGAATATGAATTTATGGCATTAAAATCTTTTGGTTTTTCGGCCGTTTGGACCAAGTGAAAGGGAAAATGAAACCAAAAAAAAAATAAGGAAAACCGGAAAACAAAGAGTTGGTGTGAAAGCGGACAAAAGCTGACTAGGATCAGAAGGCCCGGCAAAAGCGGATTATTCGTAAAAACAAACTGCAGCCGAGCAAAAAGAAGAGGGCTCAAAACAGAGCACACACAATGCAAATACCAGTGCTCGACGATATGGCCAAATGGC